TCTAGGATATTATAGAAAATTCATACCAGATTTCGCACGCCTCACTAAACCGTTAACTCAATGTCTAAAAAAGGGTTCAAAAATAACATTAGATCAGACTTATATTAACTGTTTTAATCATTGTAAGAAACTATTAACTAATGATCCTATTTTACAATATCCAAATTTTGATAAAGAGTTTTTGTTAACAACCGACGCATCTAACGTCGCTATCGGTGCAGTATTATCTCAAGGACAAATAGGTTCTGACAAACCTATTGCATATGCGTCCAGAACACTCAATTCTAGCGAGCTTAATTATAGCACTATTGAGAAAGAACTTTTAGCTATAGTTTGGGCAACAAAGTATTTTAGACCATACTTGTTTGGCAGGAAATTCAAAATTATAACGGATCATAAACCACTCCAGTGGGTTATGAGTCTCAAAGAGCCCAATTCGCGTCTTACCAGATGGCGATTAAAATTAAGTGAGTACGATTTTACAGTAGTTTACAAACAAGGTAAACAGAATACAAACGCCGATGCGCTTTCACGAATTGAAGTGCATAACGACGAACTTATGTCTATTATAGTTAATCCCTCTGATAATGCACCAACCGTAGACGAATCAAGAACATTAACCGTCGCGGATGCTACAAGTAATTCTAATACTGTTACTGTGCATACTGACAACGAAAATCCAATTTTAGAAATACCCATAACAGACGAACCATTAAATAAATTCACGAAACAGTTAATTCTAAACATCGTAGGCGATATTAAAGGCAGACCGATTTTAACAAAACCTTTCGATACTCATACACGTATATCAATACAAATATCTAAATCTAATCTCGAAGAAGACATCATTAATGCTATAAAAGAATATGTTCATCCAAAAATTAAGACAGGTTTACTTATAAATCCATTTCTAGATATGTACACTGTAGTACCTATTATACAAAAAACATTTAAAAATTCATCTATGAATATTTTATTAACTAATAAAGAAGTCGAAAATGTAAGAGAATATCTGAGGCAACAGGAGATCATTAATAAGTACCATGATGGAAAGACGAATCACCGTGGCATTAACGAATGTCATTTAGCTCTATCTCATAAGTATTATTGGCCGAAAATGCGTGAACAGATTACTAAATTTATTAACGAATGCACAGTTTGTGGTCAAGCAAAATATGACCGCAATCCCATCAAACAACAGTTCAGAATTGTTCCACCAGGCACAAGACCATTAGAATTAGTTCATTTAGATTTATTAACTATATAAAGTGAGAAATTTCTAACTATAGTAGATGCTTTTTCTAAGTATGCGCAAGCTTACCACTTAAGGGATGGCACAGCCATCAGTGTCGTGCAAGGGTTGTTAAACTTTTGTACACATCATGGCGTACCTCTAACCATAGTTACTGATAATGGACCGGAATTCACCAACCAACTTATATCGGAATTCGTCAGGGTTCATAAAATTCAACACCACAGAATAGCTCCTCATACACCGAATGAGAATGGTATCGTAGAAAGGTTCCATTCAACTATTCTAGAGCACCTTCGTATATTAAAAATAAATAATAAATCTGAATCGGTAATAAATCTTATGCCATATGCCCTTCTGGCTTACAATAGTAGTATACATAGTTTTACAAAGTGTAAACCGATTGAAATTATAACTGGCCATTTTGATCCTCGAGATCCATTTGATATAGATCTCTCAACTCATTTATTACAGCAATATATGAATAACCATAAAGATAAAATGAAATTAGTATATAACTCAGTTCATGAACTCTGTAATTCCTCCCGTCAAAATATTACTGAAAATCATAATAAGGATCGTGAAACTGAACTTCAGTATTCACCAGAACAACAGATTTTTGTAAAAAATCCTTTTGCTTCCCGACAAAAGTTAGTGCCCCGTTACACACAAGACGTTGTAATGGCAGACCTCCCTATACATATTTATACTAAGAAAAAACGTGGTCCTGTAGCTAAATCTAGATTAAAAAGAGTCCCTAAAAGCGCCCAATTGTTTCAGGACGCTCCTGGTCAATAGTAAAAAGTATAACGAGGTAATAAAATCTCTCCAAGATAATGAAAATAAAATAGTATCTGAATTTAATGCACATGTTAGTTTATCTAAATATTGGACTGCTCAGTATTCTAAAATCATAAGTAATATAGTAACAAATCAGAATAAGATATACATTTTAGTAGGTAAGATAATAGAAAACGAAGCTACACGAGACTATGATTTAGTAAAAAAAATGCCCATTTATCTCAAATTATAGATATAGTAAGCGATAACTATAATTAACTATAATAGCTTTTATAAAAACTTCTACTATGCACCATTCTGTTTTAGATTCGTATACAATCCGCACTATGATTAATAACATAACTACTATATATGGTACAGATAAAGTAGTAATAGATTTAGATACTAGAGAAATATATTATATAATTAAGTTAGGTTCATATTATATAGATAATAAAATAATATATAAAGTTCCCATCATCTATCCTTTTACGTATGATATGTATAAATTATGTATAATACCCAATAATCACCACGAGATCTTATCACCACCCCATCCGTTCCTTGTTCTTCATGAGAAAGATTTTAAATACATAGAGACAGAATGTCCGAAGACGAGCAGATGGTACTTATGCGGCGCACCCAGCAATATGCAGAATCAATCACCCCAAGACTGTATCCAGAGGCTCATCACCACGCAGCAGCGGGACCGCACATGCAACCCCATTACTGTTTCACTAACAAAATTAGCTTACGAGAAACTCAAGAATAGGCACTACAGTGTGAGTTTTCCAACTCCAACGAAAAGACATTTATCCTGCGGACAAAACCTTTGCAAAACCCTGAAACCCGCATTCAAACTGAATTCGATCAAACTGGATCACCTGCATGAAACAAATATGAAGATGTCAATGGAGGTGCTATTGACACTGCAGACAGAAAATAACAGCGGTATATATCATACGACTATACCGATATATGCAATACTAGTAAGTGCTTGCGTACTTGCTTGTGACATTACATATTATAAATTCCGCATAAAATACCTCAACACCAGGCAAGCTCATCCAGTCAACCATATGGAAATGGAAGGAATCTACACTGTTCCTGAAACAAGGAGAGTTAACCCAGAGCAACCCCCAGCTCAATTTACGACAAACGTCTTCAATAGTCGCTGTTCTACGAGGGGAGGTGTTACGCAAGCCTAGTATAGAAGGACTGCTGCATTTGCACTGTCCCCAATAAACATTGCACGCGGCACCAAATGCTTGATCAGCAATGAGCATCACGCCATACCGCGTCATGCCTATAGTTACATTTCATTTTTATAGAATTATATAAATCAATCATATTCTGTTCTAACATCGAACTATAAGCATTGTAATTATTATTTTATATTAATAAATTTAAGTTAAGAAAAAGGTTGGATTTTTTTTACAACCTCCGGCTGTAGAATCCATAAGACTTTCATAAAGTAGAAACAATTATAGCACAACAAAGAAAAAAATATCAAAGATGGGCAATTTAATAGTTTACATAATATTATTGCTATTTTCTACACAAATATCTTTTGACAAAAAAGAGTGACTTTGACGTGATAAAATATTTGTAAAATGATTCTGCTTTTACGGACTCACAACAAATATAATGTGTTTTCACATGTAATGAGCCCGTCATAACAATATATCTGTTATATATTTTTATTTTCTCGAAGTAAAGTCGTTTCCCAATAAACCTTACACAAACAGATAAATAGTCGTTAAAATTTGTAGATATTTAGAGCATAATAATGATGAAAATTTTAACACTGACAATATCTATATATCGTTAGTAAAATCTACCAGGCGAAATAATTATGGAGGTACTTATATTCATGTTCATTATAAAGTCATAGACTTTTATAAAACGAAGTATAATGTATATACTAATATATAAAACGTCTAATTTCAAGAGTAGTATATATATATATACGTTCTATACTAGTTGTATAAAGATTACTCGTTAATTGATCTAAGAGCAGGCGTTCGTGTAGGAGCCATATGCAATCTCAATAACAAGTAACGAAATAAAAATGATCGCACGATGTACGTGATTGATTCTCTCCCGATTTATTTGTTATTTCAGATTGATTACATACCGAGGAAGAAATGTGTACTACTTTAGTATGATTTATTTATTTCCCGTTTCATCTTCTAATCGTTTCGAGAATCTAAGAATTTCTCTACCACCTGGCGATTGAAATGTCCGCTCTGTTGTGTACTTGTAGTTTACTAGATTCTAACACAATCACGGCAATACCCTCGGGGCAATCGAAGTGATCGATTTCATCTCGATTTGTTTGTTCGCTCTAGAATCGATTACGTGCCAGATCTGTGCCAGCTATGTGGTTAGTTTTCTGCGTCAGTGGTCTTTGTTGGTTTTACTGCTTCTACTATTCACGTTGAATAAATACCCTTGTTAATAGATGTAATATTTTATTATTACATTGTATAAAGTAATCATTAAGTTATAATTAACAAATTGGAAATAGTAATATCGTAAACTTTAACAACATAGTATAAAGTGGATGTGAAATATTTCCTAAGTTCTGAATATATATAGGTACATAATATCTGAAATTATATTACTACGCTGCTAAGATAACGTCATTCGGAAGTATTGCTAATATTATAATTTTTTTTGCAAATTTATTAAGTATTTTTTATTATTTACATAATACAGATAATGTATTATTTACATAACTTAATTGTACGATATTATAATAATTTTACTATATTATTTATAGTTACTCTCACTAATGACCTCCATTTTATCTTTACAGTCTTTTCCATATCCGAATCACAATGTGTATACAGTATGTAATTATTTGTTCAAAGTACGGTATCATTTCAACTGAAACTGTTAAACTAAATCCACGCTGTTCACAAAGTTTCATAGTTATTTTAACAAAAGTTTTGCATTGTTTCAGGTGTACAGATAGCATATTTTGCAATAATAGGAACGCAGATGTTCATGATTGTTCTGAGCATATTTCTCTTCTATGGAATTTATAAAGTGAGTATTCCTCTATTTTTCATATGCCTACTTATTGCTGGAGAGCGTGACGGCGTAGTTATTTACTACTTATCATGAATATCAGTTTCATTCAGCCGTGACATCGAACATGCCCAAAACTACACACAGCGCCATCTAGTCCCAAGCAAAGCAGATCTTGTTTTATGGGTATCAGACAGCTGATATATTTACATACATTTTGTTTGTTAAGACATACATAATATACCTAGAAAACACCCACAAATAATATCATCATATGAATAGAAATATTTGCACCGTGCGAAGAATCGAACCCGTAACTATCGGAAGTAAATCGCTAGATCACCGAGTCAATGTCGTGAAGATCAATCTAAATAATTTGGTATAGGATTACATTTAAATCTTTCCTTCCTTTTCACAGATGTATTGTATACTAGGTATAATACACATTCAACAATAAATGTTTTTAGTGTAATCGAAAAACCGATATACCAATTGGAAAAGATTAATCCAATCTCATCGGATCGCAGAATGAAATTGTGCGAAGCGACATGAAGAAGGAATCGCACCAAAAATTGTCTCTCGCCCATTTCATATGTCCCCCGCACACTTAGTTGTAATGGCAGTCACCCAATCTCGTAGGTTCAGATTCTGACCTTAACCCATTTCACCAATCCTTAGGAATGTTTCTGATTATTTTATAACACTTCGGAAATTTGTATGTATTATTGACAGAGGTCACTAAAAACGAATGGTAACATCTGAATTGTAGTCCACTATATTTTATTTAGAAACTAGCTACTCGCCCCGGCTTCGCACGGGTGTGCATGTATAATATATACAAACTTTCCTCTAGAATCACTCTATCTATATAAAAAAAACCGCAAAATCCGTTGCGTAGTTTTAAAGATTTAAGCATACATAGGGACAGACAGCGACAGCGACTTTGTTTTATACTATGTAATAATGGTATATGATTCTTACCTTTAGGGAATTATTTTGATCTTAGGGATTTCTACTCTTACATTTACACCACACTTGCACTGGTATAGACCCAAGCTAAGATGAGCTTATGGGTATTAAACAACTGATATAAATACTAAAATATATATTTTTTGTCTCGGTGATTTCTGTGTATATTATGTCTGTAACATAATATATACAGAAATCACCCAGACAAATCATACTCATGAATGTTGTACTGTCCGAGAAATCGAACCCGTGACCATTGGAATGTGGCGTGCTAAATCGTTAGACCACCAAAGTTAGGCCGTCAAATTTATTTAGTGACTTTTAAACTTTCGAGAGAGGTTTAGGAAAATTAATCCTAAACTTCTTTCGTCATTTCGGCTAGGTTGCAAATAAATACCTTTATTAGCAATAAAATTATTCGTGTTAAGACCCGGTTAAAATTGTAAATAAGGTTTTTTATTTAGCTTATTCTATGTAATATTTTGGATGTTACGTGGTCATAAGTAACATCTTAAAGTCGCAATGTGAAGAATAACACGTATTTTTCTTAACATTCAGTATTAATTACTTTCTTTGAACTATTTGAAAAGAGACATTCCAATAGAAATGTTCATGATATTTATAGAAAAGCAATGTTTGACTTATACAATATTTTTCAGGAAAATATCGCGTTTCTTGTGCCGTGGGTGGTTGGATGTATGACGTTCATGGCACTGGAGGCGATGGCCATGGTGTACTCCAATATACTTAGAGATCATGTTAACAAGGTGAGTTTTTAATCTACATAATAAAAAACATTCTAATGTTCTTCTGAGTGAGTCATATTAATGACCGGAATTTACTCGTAACTTAGCCTATGTAGTAAGTACATTTAAATGTCAGATACATGTATGTCAAATTTAATGACGGTCGGTTGAAGGTTTAAGGCGCCAAGGGGCTAAAACAAGTTCACTTTTATATCTAAATATATATATATATATATATATATATATATATATATATAATAAAAATGTAGCTGATTCCTGTCCGTACATAGAAGATGTATAAGAAAAACTTTTAATGAGGGATTTTATCAACCTATCGTCATCTGCTTCTTTTTTAACCCATACTTTATGAACCTAATAAAACTTAAAATATATTCTTAGAACATTTGTCTGTTTATCTGTTTACTATCAATTTGTAAGCTTAGCTTAAAATTTATTTTAATGGTTTGTTTTTTTATTTTATTTACAAAGAAAAAACTTATAAACTATTGTTGTTCCAAATACCACGGTTTATAATTGCGAAAGCTCAGTCTCCGCTAGTATATTATTTCAGTAAGCATATGAATCGAAAAAAATAATAACTTCCAGACCCATACGAAATTTCGAATATGTGTATAGCCTAGGAACCTTTTTACTATCAGACGGAACTCCAGGTGGGATCCATCTGTGTTATATAGAAATCATATAAACAAACTAGAAAGGTATACGTACAAAACATGCCCGTCAGCCCATCTGTTTCCTCGCACGAACGTTATGCACGAAATTTACAGGCTAAATTGCTACATACAAAAACACACATCTGATAGAATTTAAGTAAATTCTTTTCCTAAAAGAATATAAGTTCTACTGCGTTAGGCTTGTTTGTCCATACGTTTGACTACATAATATTTTCGTTCATTAGACTATATGGTTTATTAGACTATATGCTTCTATATCAAAATCCTCTGTATCACTAGTTTCTTTTTCTTCTTAATTTCCTCTATGGCAATCGGTCGTTATTTTTACGACGATTTATGCCAGCGTTATGTATCAGAGGTATTGCAGGACTGCAGACAGAGAATATATTCAAAACACCAACTAATTTAAGTCCTTCTGGTGTAGACACTGTAAAAGACAGCAGCCAGTAGCTTGATTTGTAAGTGTCATTCTATTTGAAGCTTATATATGAGGATAGCAATGATATTACGGAATATTAGGACATGGTGGCTTAGTCCATTAGAATGGAACCGTACAAGGAGTACCACTGACGTCACATAAAAACGTGACGTCATGTGTAATATGTACAACCGATCATATATACCTATGTACAATCGGCAGTTGCCATATATCATTAAGAGGGTCTTTAAATTGTTTGAATTTCCAATTGCATTAAAAAGATGTCCTTTTCGTGTGTACTTATTATTATAAATATTTAGATCAAAATAACACCCACGTATTGCTTTTACATGGCAGACAAAATACAAAATAACGAAGATAATAACTTCTATTATTCGGAGTACTGAAACGGAAATATTCCTGTTCTTTCTTTCTTTTGTAGAAAAAAGAATATGTACATAGTATTATGGAACTCACAGGAAACTAATCGCCAATCGACATTCATACCAATCTACTTGTGTTCTTTGATTACTTAGGTCTACATTATTAGAAATTTTACTGGTGCGCGTTGTAGATATAATAAAGTTTAATTGAAATTTCTAATATGGGCGGTATTATTAATTTTTATTTCTATAGTTTTGATATGAGTAAAATATAGTTATTAACATATTTTCGACTACGTAAAAAGGGAGTTGAGATTTGGCATCTTAACCCAAAAATCATTCTGAAATTTGATGACGATGATATACTATTTAGTGTTTGCTTTTGATTTTGCTTATAGTTATTCGACTGAGCAGAAAATAGATTTTATATATTTTATGTATATATTCCATAGGGTTGGTTCCATTCAGCAAGCAATGTCAGTCAAAAAAAACGTATGTAGCCTGTTGAATTACTCGTACTTTAAGATATCTGATCTTAACAAAATATTTTCATTCATTAGAGTATATGGTACGTATAAAACAAAATACCGTGCATAATCGACCAAAACTATGTACCTTTATAGAAGTAGAAGTAGTTGTTTTGTGAGTAAAAATATCTAACACAACAAAGGTTTTGAAATAGGCATATTTCATCCACTTCGAAATAGTTTATTTTAATATTTAACGGTAGGTAAATATTATTAGCAACATTCACTGACCAAACATACGAAAAATATCTTTACATACAGTCTTATATGGCTCATACTGTTTTTTTCCATTACCAATATAGTAGCAATACGTAAAAAAATAAATAGGTAATCCGTAAGTAGGTAACACCTATCAAATGGGCAACAAAACTGTCACATAACATCCAACTATTCGCCATTACCAGAGAAAGCTTACATATTGGAACCCAAGTGATAAATTATTTATATGCCATTGAAACTATTGAAAGAAATAAAATTCTTCCTACTTAAACACGAATTGCGGCTTTAGATGATATTCCTTTAGTGGGAACTAATGTTGTTAAATGATTGGATGCTTTTATTTGTGTAACTGGAATGGTAAACAAATTGTTTTGTCTATATGTATACGTTTGGATATATATGCTCTTGTGTTAAGGCAAAGATGAGATCTTACTATTATTATAAATGCGAAAGTTTGTGAGTATGGATGAATGGATGTTTGTTGCTCTTTCTTAAAACAATAGCGTAGGCCGAATGCATCATTGCGTTATCACTTATCATACATAAACGAAATTGCTGATATCGTAGTTATCTATAGTCGTATCTAATACAAATTAAATAGTTTTTCTGTTTGTCCATTACAAATTGACATTAATAATTAAACATTTTCTTTCGATAAAATACATATTTTTATTTTTTTAGCTCTGTTAAAAGATGTAATAAAATAGAAATTTGTACTGAAATAAAATATACTACTGAATTATGAAAATTCACACCAACATCTGCACTTACATAAAAAACATTTTTACGGAGCTAGATAAAAAACGATAAAAGAGTGATTTCTCTTTAGTTAGACGTAAGAATTTTTTCTTGCTTTCTATGAATGGAAGCAACTGTAATTTAAAATGGTAAGTAGAAAGGTCCAGGATCACTGTTTTCACTAATGGACAAAAATTGTTAGTTCAACAATGATAACATAAAAAAGTGTACCTTCCATTAATTATTTTTATAAATCTTTGTACACTTTTTTATATGTAATTTTTTCCTTTATTGTGGGCCGTTTTAAAATACTAATTATTCCTTGTTTTTTTAAATGAATTGAGTTGTTACTCAAAAGTACGAGTATGTCTATTTTATTTCGCGTATTTTCATTTTGGATATATTCACATATTTTCTATATATATATTTACAAATAAAGTTTTTAATTATTCCTGTAAGTTGCTTAGTATTCATAGTATAAGTTATTCCTAAATAATTAGGGACTTATAATCCAATATAAATGTACTGATATAGAGTTGATACACTCAGACATACTAATTGTATTCCTCGATATGTTATTTTAGATTGATGGTTACTTAATTGCTGCAGAATATGTAATAGCGTAACAGAATTGCCTAACTGTCCATATCACGTTTCGAATCTATCGTGTGAATAGAAAATAACATGTACTGAAACAAATTTATTTTGCGAAAACGGTCTATTGTATTGTAAAATACCGCAAAATGGTTTTTACTTTGTATACAAATTTTACTCCATGTACTTGAAACATTGTGAACTGCAATTGACTTCAAACGATTATAATGCAAAATATTCTACTCAAGCTAACAAGGTTTTCATAGAGTATTTCTAAGAAATTTGGAAATATTATTGTATTATATAAGCCAGAGAACTAAACACATGCATAAACGTATTATCAGTCATTTATATCAAAAATTAATAATGTGGTACATTATGTGATATTAAAATGATAGGTGATTAAAGTTTTAATTTATTATCTCGTGACCATTTCTTGTCATCTCAAGGAAGTTGTAAAAGGATTATATTAAAGAAGAATCAAAGCAATGTAAGAGAATAATTCCTAAATTCTACGCTTAGAAAAGAATTTTGCACCCAATAGTGGCGTGATTACTTTTAATCGATTTAAATATTAATAGTTATTAATATTTAAATCGATTAAAAGTAATGAATATAAAGTAATTTGAACTACTTTTTGATTATTTCTAATTCCTTATATATTTACCTTATTGTTTCTTATGTGATAAAGTATGTAATGGTAGTGTTATCAGAAATGCTGTAAAAGACAGTAAGCATTATGAAGAAATTATTCTAAAATGCATGAACTCAATTTTGCGAATTAAATAAGCAAAGGGAAGCACGATGCAAATTCATATACCATAATATTATGAAATAACATCTAAAATATATGGAAGAGTATACAGGGTTGGAAGATTTAAGAAAAACGAGAAAATACGGTATAATTTCAAAATATGTTAATGTATAACGTAATACGTTATCGAGTCTTTTAAAAAAAGGGATTAAATAAAAATGAAATTCTGTATAATGTTATGTCTACGTTTCGCGGAGCAATTTGCCTCAAAAACATTAGCGAAAGACAAACATTATGTATTACCATATTGCTTTTAAGCCTGTGTAGCTTTATATTAAAGCTGAAACAAAACAAATAAAGGATTACTGAATTTTATTTAAGCAACAATTTTACCTTAGTTAAATTTGATGATTCAATTAATAAGAGAGATTTAACTGTTTGAATTTTTGCAAAATATAAATGGTTTTAGATATAATATTGTTTATGATGAAGGTACCGTAAATATATTCATCGTGATGTTAATATCCGATTGCTATGCATCATCATGGACATCATATTTGACGCCTGTGTTATAACATATGCGTTACCATTCCAGAAGAGTAATATGTTATGCTTCCATATCCTGTTACATTATTTTTCACTCTCTTATGCCCACCCTTCCAATCAAAGCAGTGTACAAAGCAATCTGCTTGG